AATGTAACCTCCAATATGGATATGTGCATACAAATAACACCACAGACAATACATTTCCTCGTCAGACATTGTTTAGCCATTGACTAGAAAAAAAACACGGTTCAAGGGCGTTTTAATAATGTATTTTAAACATGGTTTAACCGCTGTTTATCGAGACAACGTCTAAACCGCGGCTCGGCCCTAAACACGGTTTAAAGGGGCATAACGGTTGGATTTTGAAGAAAAATTGAAAATTTCACCCTTTTTTTAATTTCTTCTTAATGATGCTTGAATCCATCTAGTTTCAGATAATATATGTTTTTTTAACTTTTTTAATTATGCGTCGCTAAAAAACAGCCCCTTTGAAGGGCAGTACGTTGTTTTTTTTGTTACCATGACAACCACAGCTAATCCAATCGTTTTGGCACGTTTCATTTCTCCAAAATGGTACAAAAACTCATCCCACTCGATCCTGAGACCCTTACGTCCAGCCCCACATTCTTGAAGTTAAAATTTCCACCAATATGAAGCCCGGTTACAAAGCACTCACTCTCCACAGATAGAGCGTGAGCGTCTATCTTGTTTACTTGTCTTCTTATCCGTAAATCGTGCCAAAAGTTGGGAAAAAAACAGTCTGTCTTAAGGAATTTTGCGCTAAAGAGAAAGAAAGGTTTTAAAGGAACCCAGAAACAAGAGGTAGCACAGAAGAGAAGGAAAGAAACGCGAGCTGTAGAAGTCACCTTCGTTAGTAAAGATGACGGTTGTCAGCGAGCAAATTCTGCCCCTCGCAGAATCTGCTTCCAAACGGAAAATACAGCGAAACGACGATGAAAGCTCCTCAAATGAAGGTATTGAAGATTGTTTCAATGGACAATCTTCTTAAATTTGTGAAGAGAATTCACGCACAAACTCCACTTAATTTAGGTAAGAGTTACGTGAGTTAAATTTTAAGGCCTTTGAACTAAAATATAGCAGCTGTTTTTCTGGATCAATGCTGGACCAAAATTACTACAGTTATATCCCTTTATTAATAAAAGCGTTAATTGTCTTTATGGATCTACTAGGCCAAATACAAATATTGGAGAGTTCCTGTTACCGGTTTGGACTTGATAGCTCACTTTATGCCAAGTGAAGTGGTTGCGGCACGTCTTAGTTTCTTGCAACTGGTAGCCAACCTCAAGATGATGTTAATCCTAGAACTCTTCAAGGAAAAGATATGAACAGAAGAATGGAGTTTGCTGCATTTGAGAGTGGGAATGGAAGAGAAGGAGTTGCCAAATTTTGTGAGGTCTTCAATATGCCAGCCATGAAGAGACCCTTAGTCAAGCCTTCCAAGAGGAAAGAAGCAAACAGCTACAAAAGAACTGTGCAGGCACAGGTAGAAGGAAGCAAGACAAAGAGACAGTGGAAGAATTCAGCAAGCATAGCACAGAGCTCAAGAAAAACACAAACAATATAGACTTGCACGAAGACAAGCTAAGAAGAGAGAAGAAGACCTGTGTGTAACCTGGGAAGGCATAATTTATGAAGCTGGAGGTTTTGACAAAACACATCTCTGCAGAGTGGGTTAAAAGAGAAAGAACCAAAGAACCTAAGCATACCTTCAAGTAGGTGTGCTGTGATGCACAAAAGGCCATTTTATGAAGTCATTAGTCTTACAAGTGACATTTAGATAAAACTGAAGTTTTAAGGTGATTCCCTTGTTTTGCACTGCGCAACCTTTTCTGCGCATAACATTAATTGCGACATCCAAGATGGCAGCCGTTCTTCCCGCTAGCGTGAAAAGAACGGACAAGGGCCGCCTTTGCAGAGCGAAAGCTTTTATTCGTAATAAGAATGCCGCAAATCGGCTGACAGCTTCCTGGTCTGCTCTCAAAACACAAAAAAATGAAAAAAATGTGCGTGATCTGGAAGTCTGCAGTGGATTTCCACTTCGCGGCCGTCGAGTTGTAGAATTAAATGTCCTCGCTGAGGCTTTGGACGGGAGCTGTGAAGCCTGTGGGGCAGCTCTACGGCTCTCCAACTGCATAAAAGAAACAGTGTCTGGGCTAGGATCACTACTATACATGTGCTGTTCAAATTCCGAGTGTGGAGAGACAAATATCTGTCGAACAAATAAGACCCACCGTAGCACCGGAAAAACGCGAGGGAGACCAATCTTTGATGTAAACACGAAGCTCGCTGCAGGTTTGCTTACATTTAATGTTGCTAAAAATATTGTTTTCCACAATTAAAGCATCCATTTAACATCTAGCCAATTTTTTAATTAGTTGAATCGACATATTTATAGGGATGCTACACGCAGGCATAGGTCCTACCCACGTAAACGAGTTGTTGTCATCTCTCAACGTACCATCACTTGGAGAATCCACGCTGAAGGCTCGCGAGAGAGAAGTAGGGCCCCAAATTGAAAAGTTGGCAAAGGAATCATGTCTGGAAAGTTTAGAAAGCGAAAGAAACCTGTGGAAAGAGGATAGTGAAAAGGAAAATGTGGCGATAGGAGTGTCATTTGACATAATAATAAATAATAATAATAAAATAAAACTTTATTACCGTGTCAATGTATTTAGCTCATAGAGCTAATTGGAGACACCTACTATTACAAAATTAATAAAAAACTATGTACAGTATCATAATAAGTAACAATATAGCCGATAAACTATGCATTAAAATTTAAAAATATTTAGAAATATTAACAATGTTCAGATAACATAAAAATACTTGTACAATGCAGATAAAAAAAAAAAAAATCACGTGCTGCAAAGATTGCAGCAGTTGCCACTGTCTTCCACTAGGCTGGCCAGGTCAACTCTACGGATTTTAGTTTTAAAGATGCTAAGGCTTGGTTGTTCACGCATACCATTTTCTAATTTGGACCAGATATATGGTCCTTGATACTAAGTGTGTGTTTACCATAGCGTATAGTATTAAATCGTGGTATTTCAAAGTCACTTTTCCTAAGGTTATAACGAGTACCCTTTCGAGTAAATATCTCAGATATGTAGCTAGGTACTAGATCGTTCTTTACTTTATACATTAGTATTGCTATGTCCTGTAAGCGTCTATTATGAAGCGTAGGTAACTTAGCACGCTTAAGAAGTTCCTCATATGTATCTGTTGTTGTTTTGAAGACCGCACGCAGGGCTCGCTCTTGGATGCGTTCGATTTTTCGCCCATCTAAAGATTTACAAAAGTTCCAGACTAAATGACAGTATGTTAAATGTGGCATTATAGCTGTTATATACAGTATGAGCTTAGCTTGGCATGGTATTAGGTTGCGCAAGCGCATGAGGACTCCTACTTTCTGGCTGGCTTTAGTGCATATTTCGCTAATGTGTTGTGTAAAGTTAAGGTTCTTGTCTATATTTACTCCTAATAGCTTGATTTGTTCAGTTTTCATGATCTCGTCATTGGCGATGGTGAGAACGCTGCCCTTCTTATCTGCATCTATGTTTCTTGGGTTAATCGTAAGAGACTGAAACTTATCTGGATTTGCCAAGAGGAAGTTGTCCCTATACCATAACAGTGCTTGTTGACCCTGAGTCACTAGAGTAGATTCAACTTCTTCATAGGTTTTTCCTGTCACATATAATTGGTGGTCATCAGCATAGAGCGTAAGGTTTGAGTCAGGGATATGAAATGCCATATCATTTTGGAACATGTTCCAGAGGAGAGGGCCAAATGACGATCCCTGAGGACAACCACGTTCCATAATTCTCCATTCACTCGTGTGGCCATTTATTTTTACTCTGTTTAGCCTGCTATCAAAAAATGATCTAATCAGTTCAAGTGAACTGCTATTAAAACCGTAGGCATCCAGCTTTTTTAGAGTGAGTGAATAGCTTAACGAGTCAAACGCTTTACTCATGCCAGCAGATAATATTGTTACCAGCTCTTTTCTGTCCACTGCAAACCTCCAGTCTTCAATCAACATCAGCAGGGTTGTCTCACAGCTGTGTTGTTTTCTATAAGCTGTCATCCTGATGACAAAAAAGGGGAAAAGCCCACAACAGCCTGACAGGTACACTGCAAATTCTACATCTGAAAGAATTGAAAAGGGTGCATTTGGATATGCATTTTCATAGAAAGCTGTTATTTTTTTCTGTGGATTGTTCTTTAGCTAACTGACAATTTTGGTGTTGGCCAATAGTCAAAGTTAATTAAATAAAATATATCCTTATTTTCACCATTAGGTGTTGGCTTCATGGTTGGCCTAAAAACTGGCAAGGTGATTTGCTATGGTTCAAGGTCAAAAAGGTAATGTATATACATATATTTTGACTACTAGTACCTTGTTGTAAACAACAAGAGCAATTTTTTTTTTTCAATTTGACCACAAAAAGTACAGAATCATTCAACAGATTACAGCACCCATATTTGCCTCCTCTTGAAAGTGTTACCCAGGACCTTTACCCATAATGTCTTTTTTAAAGGTGTGCAACATGTGAAACTACCAGCAGACAATCAAAAAGCCCGCGATACACGACTGCAGGCTCAACTGGGAAGGCTCATCAAAAGCTATGGAACACATGTTGAATTCACAGTGTTATTGCCCCAAAGAGAGACTTGTGGAATCTGTTCTTATGATATCAGTGTTACAGTAATGACACTTGAACCATGAACAGAGGAGAGTCTTACAGTACCCTCACACCTGCACGGTAATAATGGCTGAAAATTTGACAAGAAAGCAAACATAAAATGCACCTATATTTTTTTTAATATGGGTATGTTAAAAATGCAGAAAAAAAAACACTTTAAGATAATGCCTAGGTGTAGTTTGAATGCCCTTGCTTTTTAAGTCACAAAATGTTATTTTTGTGGTTTTACTCTACTTAACAGTTGTGGAGAAAAAAACGCAGTTGCATCTGTTCTTGTTGGGGATGATGATTCATCCACCATAAGCAAAGTGAGGGAGAAATGTTGAGCACGAGGTTGAAAAATGGTCAGATGTAGTCCATACTAAAAGATCCTTTGGTAGCTCACTATACCGCATCAAGACCCAAAACAAAAGCCTGACAGAT